TGAAATTTCTTCTTCTATCACTACCTTCCTTTCTCATCTTTTGCAACAATTTGCGATTAAAATCCTTGAATGTTACTAAATAAAACCCCTAAAAGAGCAGACCTAGAAGCTACAACAGGAGTATTATCCCTAAAAATTGTTACATTACCATCGGTTTTGAATCAAAATGTGACGGCATCTTTGTCTGGCGGTAAATTTCTTCGGTTTGATCTTCAGGTAGCTCATCAGAACGCTTCCTTAATTTCAGACACGGTCTAAGACTGTTACACAGTTCTTTTGAAGCTGGCTTAACACCTGTGCATTCAGAATCCTCAACGACCACGTCATCTTCACCAGCAATAGCTGCGTCTCTAACACATGTAACCGATCTAGACCTCACACCAGAACGAAATTTACAACCAGAACAAGAAGACCATCTGTCAACTTTCCACCTAGAAATTATATTCTCTATTTCATTTCAGTATCATTTTATTGTAGGCACATGTTTTGTACCTTGTTGGACAAGGATTGGAATTACAAATTCGTGTCTTAGGAAGAGGTTTATCAACGGGGTCGCAATAGCTCTCATCAACCCTTCCTGCCTTCTCTTCCAGACACATGGGCCTTGCAGTTTGTATACCACCACCACATCTACTACTGCAAGATTCGAATTCAGTAAATTCCCAGTGGTAGCGGGGTAAATACGAAATTTGTGATCTTGGTTCAGACCATTTGTATTTGTAACCCACATTTTCCTTTTTAAAAAACACTACCTGAAAAAACACCAAGATTTTCCTAAACTTATTATATCTATAAGGTTTTTCATGACTTTGGTGGTAAAAAATGTGAAGTAGACATTATTTTTAGTCGAAATATTGAAAGAATGTGACTTTATCCCGTCGTTTAGAAGTCGAAAGAACTTTAATAGTAGGATCGCGATAGGTCATCCATTAACTCCTCCGAAAATTTGTTTATAAGTCAAGAGGTCCTGCACTGCCGGCAGGAGTTCGTCATCTGAGAGAGAAGAGAAAGTATTTGGCTTATAAATTTCTGTCATCCATCTTATTTCAGAGGGAGTGCCGCAAGTAGACGTCGCCCTTGCCCTAATTTCCAACAACAATTTCAAGAGAATGTTAAAGCAGAGCGCTATTTGAATCGGCGTACCATTAGACAACGATTAGACGTTGAAAGTTGTACTATAAAAAAAATTTAAAGGACAATAAATTTTCATTTTGTTCCCGTCAAATTGTCTCGCAATGTGCACGTTTCAATATTAAATTGAGTCGTGAATTTTCAATTAATTGTACGACTTATTGTAAGGAATCTTGCTCCGTTGTTAAATTACGTCAAATAGTTCGCACAAAATTCCTTCACTTGTATTTCCTTCTCGACTCTCAACCTGTTTAATTTTCCCCTTTTATCGCACCCCTTCTTGGGCTAATTACTCTATTAGTAGTGCTAATTGTCAACAACCTTTGTCATATGCGAGCAAGTGCATGGAACGTAGGGTGTAGTTGTAAAGGTTACGTTAATGTGATTAAATTTCTCCCTCTCTATGTCTGTGTCACTCTCTCTCTCTCTCTCTCTCTATGGCGCAATTGGTGTTAAATCTTTGCAACATTGTAACTTACGAAAAACACCAATTCTTCTTGTAACGGTCCAGAAATTGTCAACAACTCTTTCTCCGGTTCAGGGTGACTGTAAATAGCTTGGGTTCCTGCCATTTTATAATCACCGTCCAATTGTTCTATACTAAACAATAATTAGATGAGTATATAAATTAATAATCAATAATAATGCATTAATTGAAGCATGACACCCACTGTTTTCCGTTCAGTAAGAAATGCTTTTCGTCAGCTGAACTAATAGCGATAGTGTTTTCTGAGGGATCGAGCTCTTCTATAAGAACATTCCTTGCTCCTTTTGGTATCATTATGACTTTCGTATAATCTACCGATCAGAAACAATTTTCATATTTCATTCAAATTATCTAGCAAGAAGGAAAACCCTACCGTTCCCTGGAGGATCCTTATAAACCTCCTCGACAATCTTACATTGAGTCCCATCACCTTTACAAACTCCGCAAATGTCTTCAACCGCATCAGAATCCAAAACCCAATCACACCCAACCTTCTAAGTATATGTACAATATTATTAACTGTTAGTAATTACTGTCTTGGCTTTGGTCTTTCGAAAATACAAGACCAAGGCCAAAACCAAGACAAGAGGTGTTTGAGCAAGACCAAGGTCAAGACCGAATAAGCAAGACCAAGGCCGATATCAATATTGGGACAGTCTTGGTGCTGGACTTCCTTTGCTAATCCTTAACTGATGCACAAAACAGTTACCAAAACTCACCCTACAAACACCCCCAATACAAGTGTCTCTTGAGCCACTTCTACACTTGGTGCCATCCTTTACGCGAGGTTCCAATTTGCTGAAGAAATGTTCGTTTATACAATACAAACCACAAGGATCGTCTAGAAGAAATTGATGACATGACTCACTTAAGCTGAAACTTTATTGAAAGAACTTCCTCACCGGATTCATAGTATGGGATCCAAGTATATAACTTCCCATTAAACAGTTTACTATCATGTTCACTACACTGTTGGGCCCTAAAGGACTTTGTACCTGAAGGACAGGGCTAGAACGATCAAATGATATAGTATGGATGGTCCTAACCAGAGAAAGAACGATCCAAGCGAAAGAAGACGAAGTGAAGAAAGTTTAGAAGATGGAAGATTTTGTTTGATATTGTCTTACATGGGTGTTACACATTCTAAATTTCTTCTTAATTCCGATGCAGTACCTCCCCTTGTGTTTTGGCACAGGGTTGTTACACTGTCTCTTGCAATACGAAACACCTCCGCCACAACTAACAGAGCATTCTCCCCAATCACTCCACTCACCCCATCCACCGTTTATTGCATCAGGACGTGTCCCCTCCTCGATGCATTTTAAATTGTAACACCACTAAAATGTACCGATAAATAAACGATTTCAAAAATTTTGTTGGAAGAGAAAGGTACACCTTGTTCTCTCCACATTTTGTACCATCTGCAGGAGGTTCGCCCAACGTAGTGCAAGAATCCGGTTTGGTTTTGCACAAAAGTCTCTTACAAATGTTCTCTGGTTCTTGGTGACACAACGTTGATCCAGGGAATATCATATTGCATTGATAGTCAGCATCATAGACCGAACCAGGTAACATCTCAGCGAATTTGTATAATGTTTCTTGAGGCCTGTCGTTCAGACATTCCCCTAGATCATTCCTTGAATTTGAATAACATCATTTTTCTTGAATAGAGGAATAGGAATCGAAATAACCAACGAAAGAGATACAGATATTTACATAGATGGAAACCAATTGAAAACAAAAGTATAGCAAATATAAAAACAACATTTCGAGTTCCAAAAACAAAGCTATGGGTACAGTAACAATGGGTTTGATAGAGAGGCCAGTTGAACGGGAATTTCGAAAATATTTAATTGTTATCTTACTCGAACAAAGTTGTCATAAACTTTTTACTACATGGGGACCAAATATTTGTATGCGAGTGAACGTATGGGGCCATCACATGGTATGAACCATCTTCTGCCTTGGACGAACATCCTGAAATATCTTCTGCGTCATGAGAACAACCCATGCTAAAGATAGATATAAATATTTGAGAAATCACCACCTTAATAATTTTATTATGAGCATGATGTTGATCAAATCAACAACTACAAATTATTGATTGTATTGATTGAAAACGACAGATAGATAAGCAATATTATCATTTGTGTTTAATATTTTGCTGTCGTGAAAACCAAGACCTGTTTCTATGCGAATATTATTTAACCTTCCTGGAGAATGGACGAAAATGTATACATATTAAGTAAACTTTTGAAAGTAATAACTATGCAAATCTTACACATGACCCATTTCATGTGCCACAACGACTCCCAGATTGAGTCCAGTATCCTCGTTAATGCCACAGTTCTGATCTTTCGTACAAGCTGTGCCAACATGAGCCAGGCCCAATAGTCCACAGTTTGACATATTGTCTGAGCAGATATCATACCTAACAAATCATTAAGTTTTAAATGTTCAACTCTAAAACCAATACATAATTGAAAAGCTAAATGTGTTTTGCGAAACTACACCCATTATCCTAAAACGGTTTAAGTAAATCCTTGCCAGGATTGCAGTATAAAAATTTATTAATAGTCTTCCATGTTTCATATGCATAATATTAATATTAAAAGTGATATATTGAATGTTTAAAGGCAAAAAAATGTTGTATTTGTCTAATTTCAGATAAATATCTTTTCTCCGATGCAATCGCCAAGGATCTATCAAAAAATGAATTTATTATCAATCAGAATCAAAGAAAAGGCTGAGCGTTGAGCCTACAATTTTCATAAATATGAGTTAAAAGGAACTGAAAGGTTGGATAAAGTAAATATTGCCCTCAAGAGAGCACGTCAAAGCTGCGTTATTAAATTTTCCATTTTATTTTTCCTTTCTAACTCGATTTAGAGAACATTTTGTTAAATGCCGTAAAAAAACGTACCTATAGGGCTCTTCTCCCTCTCAACTTTTCTATAGCGTTCACAATGGAAAATAAATACTTTGAAAAAGTTACATTTCTTAGAAAAAGGATCAGACCGTCAGATGAAAATTATACTACACTCTTTACTTTCGTGATAAACGCTTTACAAACATTCTTTCCTTCTGAAGTTATATTATACCTAACTGATCATTCCCGAACTGCTTTTGGCTTACACCGAGCGGCATGGCCTAGAGGTTTACACCATCGCTTAGCATTCGGGAGGACACCGGTTCGATTCCGGGTCCGTCTACCCTGGTCCAAATTAAAAAAAAATGATAAACCCATCCGCTCTAAAACTTTGTGTAAAACCAAAAGTAAAAAAAAATCATTACCTAACAGTTTTTCTACACAAAGAAATAATACGGTACCTAAACAATATGAAAAATTTCAAGTACCTAGTCAATAAAATGGCAATATCATGATGGTAAGGACTACTTATATCATCGACATTAACACTCGCTTGCCACTTGCAAAAACTATCCAGCGTGAGCTCAGCATTTGGACTAATACTCAAATCCATTTCCAATTCCTCCTTTTCTAAATAAATTATCCTAACAACGGTTAATTCCATTTCATTTCCTGATGATGAATCTCGATAATAGTCTGCCACCTATTAATAATCCTTTTTAGATATATACATTTAGATACTTAAAGTGAAACCAACAAAAAAATAGCTCTACAAAAGCATCTCCAACCAACTACTTAGGATCAGCGAAAACAAGAGCAGATATTACACATATTTGATAAAGGATATCTATGAAATTATCTGTTTTAAAAACGATTCAGAAAATAAAATTTGAATTTAAGTATAATATCAACAAGTCTCGAGGATTATAAATGGCAAAGGACGAATATACACGATGAGATAGGTATGTAATCATTTTTCAACGAACTGAAGGAACTCCAATTGGATTATATTGCTTCTACCAAGAAAATTTATTACGTACAAGGACCTTAAAGCTGCATGCTCATCTCCTACTCACGAAGGAGCGAAGGTAATAACAATCGTTCCAACACATGTTTCCCATGGATATTTTTGATAGAATGTGCTAACAAAAGTTTACTTGCAGTTACCAATTTATGTCAATTATTGCTTTATCAAGAATTAGTTTCATTTTCCTTTAATATTTAAGCATATTGCATGTCTACATTACATTTTAAGGAGTTATGGGATCAGTTATTTCTACATCGCTGAAAAACAAAGAGGACTAAGCATCAAGGACGTATCCGAAAATTGTATTTATATATTTTCTTCGTTTTTGCGACTAAACTGTTTTCCTGTGTCTGACGGAGACGAAATTAAATCGAAGGAATTCAGGAAATGAATGGTTGACATTATTTCTCAAATGATATATGAAAGGCGGTGTAAAGGGCCCTCCTTAATTCCTTTCAATGTGTCCTTGTCCGGCGATTATATATTTAACTATGTGTATATACCTATATACATAACCCTCTGTCTTGTCCGTTTCGGAAAACTTAACAAAAATTATTTGTTTACAAAATAACAAATAAATGTAATGCACTTAATGGTTCAAGCTCAAGCCTTTAAATATCTATTAAGTTGTCAAGATTGTTATGTAGGCCAAACAGGCAACACCTTTAATAAATGGATTCTACAACATTACAAAAGCTCTTTTACTAAAAATTCTGATTCCACATAACCCAAACGTTCAAATAGTTATAATCGTAATAATAATCAAGACTAGATAACAGAAGTTTCTGGTAAATTACTAAAAAAAACTTGAAACAAGAACAAAAGAATTCTAAAAATCTGTAATGTGTACAACTAGCAAACTTCAACAATAAACTAATTATAAATGAAATATGAATTGTTATCGGTGAACCGACGCTGTTGGCAGATATTATTGCATCCCATTTGCAACAACAATACGTGTTACACATTGATTGACGCCATATATTTTCAGTCTCGCGGTCATGTTTGCCATAAATAAACATAAAATATGAACGCTAGAACTATTTGCAAATTTGTATGCTAATTTTCGCATCCGAGCAATGGAAACTACAAACGCGATTGTGTTTTAACAAATAATGGAAAAACAATGTTGAAAATATGATATCACTTTTTTTATATTGTCGCCATTCCACAATTATGATGATAACTGTTCACAAGAATTTTCTCAGATGCAGGAAGAGTTCACAAAAAGGCTTTTTTTGATATAAATGTTCGAGCTTCATATATTATATTGAGCTTTGCTTGAACTTCAAAATATATGTCAATTAAAATAAACCTATAGTAGTTTAACTAAAAAAAAAAATAAAGATTGCGATGGCTTCCTCAGATGGAAGAATTCTCATATTGCTTAGCTTGTCAGTTATTCCGTCAAGCGAGAAAANTTATACCTGCCATATTGTTCAAATACCTACTTAATTAAATTATTTAATAGCTGAAGACTAATTAGATCCCTGTATCGTAGGTACATACATATAAATAGATGGACTAAAATCAAAATTCCCAAAATAATAATATTCAATAGATAAGCATCCATTAGAGACGCATACCTAATATTGTTATTAAATTCAACATAAAACTTTAAACTTATAAACTTACTTACATTGGTGACTTAAGCATCCTAGGTATTCAAAATGGCTGATAGATAGGAACAGCACGATAAACAACACCTGAAATAGGATACAAAATGATAACACTGCTCCATACACCAAAAATATTTATAAACAATAAACAGTCTTTAATATGTATAAAACATACGCCGATATTTCAAAGTACTCTTTAGCTTTAACTAGAAATCAATTTGCAATTTTGCTTTCGTTTTATACATTATTATAACCAGTTTTTTAAAACGATATTTAAGTAATATTTATTTGTAAATACTTACGTAAGTAAAAAATGCATTCAGGAACAAAAAAAAAAAAACATTTCCGATTAAGCGAACGAAA